AATTATATGACTGTGATTTTAGTTTATTGTGATTTTACTTTGATTTTGTTGGTGTTTAAATTTATAGTAGATATATTTAATTTATTTTAGATTTATTCCCGGTAAGATATAAATATATATTGAATTAATAGCATAAAAGTAGACATTAGACAGGCAAAAAAATATACGCGAAACCGACAGTTTAAAATCGGACCAAACCGTTAGGTTTAGGTTTGAGTTTTTTTCAAACCGGTTAAAACGGTTTGGTTTAGGTTTGAGTTTTTCTCAAACCGGTTGAAACAATTTGGTTTGAAAATTTGTCAAAAACCGGTAAAACCGGACCGCTTACACCCCTAGATGATAGCCCGGATTTATTATGCCAATGCTTCGATCTTCTTTCCCCTATTCCTTGGACAGTTGGAAAACGGGGATCATCCTAATCAGCAAGCTTTCCAGCAAACTGTATAAACCATTTTCAACAGACTGAATTCACACACACACATATAGACATTTTTGAATCCATATCCTTCTGAATTCTGTAATTTGATCATTGCGATCATGGTACTCACTAGATCGAATTGCAAGTGTGTAATCCCTTGCATGGCATCAATAAACGGACAACAACAGTTACCTCACAAGAAAAAAATTTCCCACTTGTGTATGATATTATAATGTTGGAAGTTGATATATTATCTAATGAAAGAAAAGGTAGCATGATAGAGATCACACGGTCGCCCATTAAAGTCAAAGAAGAGAATACTACTACAGAATGCAGTTCAAGACACTTGATAGAATCGAATTCTTGAAAGGATTATGCTATTTGTCCAGAAAAGGACATCTAGAAGGTGTGCTAGAAAATGATATGTAGTGATATGATTGAATGAAAAAGTTGGCTGTGTTTTAAACCGTCCAAAGATAGAGTGTCGTGTCACATTCTGTAACTCAATATGTAAGGCCTGATGTACGTGTAGCAAGGTCCTTCTTGAAATATCCATGCATGGAACAACATATAATTCTGGAAGTTTATGTTTCTAAGACAAACTTCCACACCATAAAAGTTGAAAAAGACTGAACAAGTCAATAGAAAAGAGAACTGGAAATCTGATTGGAAAGAATGAGGATAGAAGGGGAATTTGTATTCCAAAATTAAATGAAAAAAATATATATCAAAACATCATTGGATATCCACAACCAACCTAGGATACTAGGATATTGCATTTTCTTAGTCAACTGTCTTTATAGAGGAGTTTCGTCACTGGTTTAAAGATCATTAAATCATGTTTGGCAGATGATAAAACTGTCAATAGCTGTGGGTAACCTCATTGGTCCTGGCCTACTTAAGTCTAAACAAACTATTTATAATTACAAAAGTTCAGCTACCATTTCTCTTTCACACAGAACAGATTCTAATTGAAGTTTAACATGATAATTCTCCAGTAAAAGTAAAACGACTAAGCCTTTTCCCATCAATTTGGGGGCGGTTACATGAACCTTTTTTGGCCATTGTTCTCGGTACACTACTAAATTTACTAGAAGATCAAAGTAACGAGATGCTTAGTAACTAGAACCGTAGATCAGCTTTCCTTTGTACGGTCTAAGGGGGTATTACTCCATTCATAAGATGAACACGTTTAGCAGATGAATGTAATCATATAATGGACATCGATCCTATTCCAGGAACTTTGTTTCTCAAGACGAAAAATTCTGAAAACCTAAATATTTACAAAGCACAAACGATAAATAGAAGCTATTTTTTCAACACATAACTTAAATCAGATAATGAAGTAACATTACTAGGCAACTTTCTTTAAGAGACAGGCGAAAACTGTCTAAGAAAAAGAAACAATGAAACTTCACTTCCAGCCTCAAATCGTTTTTGTCAATAGCTTTCACCAAACGCTCATGTTTTATACGTAAAGAATGACTGAAATCCAGCATACAATGCACTCGAGCGATGATCTAGATACATCATCTGAATTAGATTTCATAACGTTACGCGAATTTGAAGGTATTATCCACGGACATAAATATTTTCCTTCCAATTCCATGCAGAAGTATCCAAAACTAACTCAAATCATAGAATGCCCCAACTGCTTTCTATGATTCATCTGGCGAGTCCAAAAATTTGATCTTCCTTTCAGGTTTTACAGATCCAGGTTCGACTTCTGGCAACATTAGCCTAGAGGTAAAAGAGGACTCTTTTGTAAAGATTTTCCACACCTTCTCGCACCTCTCAACATGTAATGTTGGGTACCCGAAATCTTGTTTTAGAACAATGCAGGAGTTGATGATTAATCAATCTCTGTACCAAATATCTTACAACTAAAGAGTATTCCAGAGGAATTTCCATCAGTGCATATATATAGTCAATAATTTTCATAATATATTTTGCTGAAATCTCTCTAAAATTGAATGAAAAGAATTTTCAAAAATCAATTTCATACAAACAATTTGGATTTCCAATTTGATCGCTCTGTTTCCTCAAATTGGTATTACACTTTGCCATCCCTATCCAGATGGGGATTGCATTCTTTAGAGTAAAAATCATTCTTCTCAATCAAAGCCGTCAACATATCACAATTAAACGCACCACTATTACAATCACTTGTAGGTGACTCACCCGAGGAATCCATAGCCCGCGGTTGCTTGAAGCACAAGAAACCTCCACCACCACATCCACCTCTACCTGCACCGCCGCCACATTTCGCACAACACCCAGAATTTACAGAACTACCCCTATCCCTATGCTTCCTCCTCTGTTGAAACAGCTTCTTGCCTTTCCCGAACCTAAAAAGGGAAACTTTTTTGCCCTTTTTGCCACAGGAATCGCACTTTCTCTCTCTTTGATCAATCTTTTCCGTCGGTTCACCTCCGGCACCTCCGCCGCCTCCATCTCTTGGTGGCTCCTTGTCTGACATCATAATATATCTTATGTATTAATAGATCCCAATAATTGCGTGGTACAACAACTTGCATTAGTATCAGGACCTCTCGGTGGGGTATGTGTTTCAATAATTATGCTTATTCTGTGAAACTGTTAAGGTAGTGTAATGTTGACAAAAGAGGAGTTCATACTTCATAGAGATTGAGGAACAGAAATTTAGAATTCGTATTTGCAAATTGAGATGCAGAGAGAGAGAGGCAGAGAGGAGGGTGTGAGGTGATTGTCATATTCAACGCCAGAGTTGTCGGGTTCAGATGGGATTCTGCTGCGTGTCACGTTAATGAAGCAATTTCACCTTCTTTTGCCCCCCCAAGAAAAATAGACTAATAATAATAGCAGTAGTTATCCTATTTGAAAGGGAATAGCATTACTCAAAAAAATATAATTTTATTAGAGAAAATTACACCTGAAACCCCCGAAACTTTGCAAAAGGTCAGTTAGGTTTACTATACATAATTTGCACATTAGTCCCCAACCTTTAGTACATGTTACCAATTCATCCCCACGCTTCAAATTTGTCGTTATAAATCCTCACCTTTAAGCTTCCATTTGGCAAATAAATGGTTTATAAAGAGAAATAGTAGTCGATCCCACGAAACATATATATAGTAATGAATAGTAATTATGAATATGTGATTAAAATTTATAAATTGAAACTGATTTAAAATTAAAACATTTATAACTTTGTAGCCAAACGGAGGCTTAGTCCTTAGTGAATATCCAACTTAAGGTTAAATGACAACTATACACTCGATTTTATAAAAATAAAAATTTTAACATATGTCGCAACGCTAGTGACCAAAACTTTTCAGAAGGATGTTAAAAATTACGAACCTTGCATACGACTCACCTTTTCCACAACAAATTAGCGATCACTTAGCCCATGTTTTGTTTAGTTAAAAATTAGAATTCTAGTAAATTTTGACAAGAATATGTGGTAGAAAGTTTGTTAAGATTTGTGAATCTCATAAAATGTATGAATGAAAATGAGTTCAAAAAAATAAATGAATTTTGGAAAATGTGGACCAAGGGGTTTAATTTTAGTAGAAAGAAACGGAAATGTAACATGCCATTAATAAAATTTGAGTAGGAAAATGCAAAATCTTGACATGTTTCGATGCAACTATAGAATAATAGATTAAGGTATATTATACTTCTATATTACTTGTGATGGTAATACAATCTACCTAATGCCACTATTTTATAATTTGACTTTTCTTGGATTATTTTCTTTCATTAAAACAACATCATCAAACCTCTCTCTTGTTTGACGAGGTAACAAAGATGGTCACTTTTCTAAACCCTCTATGGAATTTGTAGTAAGCTAGATGAATTGGACTGAACAATTTTTATCCTCGTATTCCTCATCATTAATTCTTTTTAATCATATTGAATGATGTAGTCGATAAGCTTGAGAAATAGGGATGGTCGGATGGAGCCATGGAATTATTCCGAGTTACCAGTTTGAGTACCAACGGGAGGTTTTGTCGGTCATTGAGATGATTTGGGAGTGGGTTGTATAGGGGAGAACCTTCTATCCACCCCTTCATTCTTTACTTTTGTTTGATTTTGGGTTGATATTGCAATTTCTCTTTCTACAAATCAAGCTACTCCATGTCTCCGCCTCCGTCGACGAGTAATTGGGCCTGCCTTCGATCGTCACCAATGAGCCCATTTTGTACCTTATGTGCCTATATGGGAGCAAATTGCGATTTTGGGCACTCGATCATTAGGCTACGACCTCTCTACAAATCAGCTACTCCATGTCCCCACCATCGTCGATGACCACGCCAACAAGTAACTGGGCATGCTCTCGATCGTCGCCAATGAGCCCATTTTGAGCATTATATGGGAGTTGTGCACTTGATCGGTTGGATGTTAGATCAGACGCTCCAACCTTACTGGTTGGGAGTGGATAGTTGGGACTGTGGGGTGGTATGGGGTTTGAGGTGAAAAAGGGGTTAGGGTTTGAGTAGGAAGTCGTGACTGTTCGATGGTAGAGATGGTGTTGTAGTAGGCTAGTAGAGATGGCATTGCAGGGGCGACGGCTATGAATTTGGAGGTTGTTGGTGGTGGCACCACAGTTGGTGATGGTTTGACGATTTGTAGATCTGGAAGAGATGTGTTGGTGGTGGTGGTGGATTTGAGGTGTAGGTGATTGTGGTGGTGGGTTGGAGGTGCAGGTACAAGTATAGGTGTAGGTGTAGGTGGTTTTGGATGTGTGTTGAAGGTTGTGGTGACGGTGGGTTGTGGATTTAAGTGGCGGTGTTGATTTAGATGGTACCGAAGGCGGTGGAGTGGGATAGGTGAGATGGAAGGTGATCGTGAATAATTTGTCACATGTGAAAATATATGGTTTGCGAGTAAATACGTAATTTTGATAATAAACAAATTATATTTTTATGGTCGTGGCCTCGAAAGATTTGTGATTAATACGTAATTTTGATAATAAACAAATAAGTATACATTCATCACACCCCTTACCAAATCACGCCTAAAATCCTCAAACTTCGTCATATCCTCTGCAGCAAATGAAAAAAAAAAAACAGGGATAATTAGCGCAAAAAAGCAAATCAGGCGTGATTACAAAAAACACAGCAAACTTCATCATCCCCAAAAAAGCATCCAATTTTTTGTATATGTAGGAATTTTTTTCCCAATTTTAAAAGGAGTGATCCAAAGTTCAGTGCAAGCACTTTAGTTAGGCCTCATTGGGCTTTGTCCTTGTTGTCTGTTGAGAAGAGCGATGATAATTAGTCTCACTGAAGTTATAACCTCAGTTTATGTGACATTCAATAATAAGCATTTAATTCCGCACTTCATTTAACCTCTATTTGTTCCAACTTTTTTCCCCAATAATAGAAAATATAGGACCCTTTTTTCAAAGTTGGTGGGTCCCAACAAGACACAAATGGTCAAAAATGATAAGCAGGACCACTGTTTGAACAATTCTTTTCCATCTACTAATGAACAACAAACAGAGACTTAGTCTATCGTTCAGCACCACATAGATTGGGGATATAACTCTAATGTGACTAAATAACATTATTTGAGAAGAGAGAGATGGATCAATTTTGGAGAAACTCCACCATTTTAATAAGAAAATTGCAAACTAAACAAAATGTGTCAAAGTCCCTAACTAAAACATGAATAAAGTATATGAATTAATGGAAATAAAGTAACAAAAATTATAAAATGAAATTTCTTGATTGGAGAAGATTCGCTTAGAATAGTGCATCTTATCGAGGATGCTATTTGTATTACAATATAATTAAATGCAGATTTGGTTGAAACACAAAGCCATAATTGTAGGCAAATGCTAAACAAAAACCTGTCATGATCAAGTCAAGTTGTAAAGAGCAAAAACAGAAGCTTTTTGAAACCTTTCCCTGGCCCTCTCACTTCTTCTCCATCTACCTTTCCAACCAATACAAAAGAAGCATAACTATCATCTCGATGCTGTTTCTTTCAAGCATGTTCGTTAAACAGTATTAAACAGTTCGGGACAGTAATGACAATAGACAAGATTATAACCTTTTGGTATACCGTCTACTTGTCAAACGAGTCATTCTTATTTTCAAAGATTACACATGTAAAGACCTATTGCAAACTTCCTCTGGCTAAGAAATGAAATGCAGTGAAAGGTCATTTTCATGTGAAGGGTGCTGATAGACTAGAAAGAGAAAGGGAACCTGAAAGATGGGGTGGGGACTGCCTTCCAGAAGCAAAAAATGTTCGAGTGCAGAATCAAGAATGGACATCAGGGACCTACTCAAGATGAAGCTCGAAACAATTAAGGAAATACCAGAAATAACAGAGAAAAATGGAGTTCTCACGAAGCATAGGAGCGTGTTGAAGAAAGTAAAGAAGATTCATTTGAAGGTGAAGATGGGACAGCTTTTTACATCTCAATTGATCCTTAAAGAATCTTATGTGTTATTCATGAAAGGGTTATCCTCCAAAGGTGGCTTGAGTGGACTTCCTCGATATGAATGTCGATTCAAAAGCTGAATATCATTCAAGTAGTTCACATATAGATTGTGTGCAGGGAAAGTTGGTATCTGTATTTTTTAACATTCGTCTAAATCTTAATGCGTAAATGTTTCAAGTTCGCGTTTGATACAAAACACTGATATGAAAAGAGCTATTAGAATCTGACTATTACTAGAGTCCATAAATAATCTCATTTATTTTTCACTTTTTGTTTTTTTGGCTCTGTATCAGTGAATTCGTAAGCATATTTCGTGTTAGTTTTTGAACTTTATTCGTGAAAGATTGGTTGATATGAAATCAAATCGAAAAACTGGTCTTGGTATACTTGAGGGCAACAGGACTAGAAGTTCTTACTTGATCATCTATTTTCAAGGATCTTAGATTCTCTAATCGCATTGGCACATCAGGAATAGTTTCTAATTACAAGTCATGTGGCCGGAATCCACGATATGTTGTAGATTAAAAGTTGTTGGATTTTAGTTTCAAGATAATAGAGAAGTGAAATATAAAAATCAACCCAAGTATTTAACATAGTACTGCGATGTCCCTATGTCCACAAAAAGCAAAGTGGAGATTTTTATTTAATATGAATAATAGAGTTATATCATTAGTATTTATACTAACTCTAGGTCAAGCCCATACACAACTTTAGAGCCCATACAAGAAAAATACACTTGTACCGTTCCGCAAGCCGTTGCCCCCGCACCCCCAACCTATTCAGCGTCCCCGACAAACAAATAGTAAATTAAACCCACAAGGCCTCTGCTCTAGCATCGGCCATTTTAATCCAGTAGACTTGTATTCCACTCTATATGAGCCACATATATGACAAAATATTATAACTAATATGGTATGTTGATGCTGGGAAGGATATAGTTTCTTTAGATCTCTAATAAACTGAATGAAACAGTAATAAAAGAATTCATATAGCCAACCCAAATATATTGGGATCAAGGGCTAATTTGACGATGTTGTGATCTGGTTTTGCCACCGCTGACGATGGCCTGGAACCAAGCATTTTCTGTCACAAAATACAGCAAGTTCAAAGCTTTATGGTGACTCTGGTAAATATTTCCTCAGAATTTGCTTTGACAACGTTCTTTGATTGTATTTTGTGCTCCACATTGCTCAAGTATAATAATCTCACCAAAAAAATAAGAAAATCAGTTTAAGAAAGAATCAGAAAAAAAATACTCAAATTAATTCTCAAGAATTCTAGTACAAAAGAAACAGAATTCTTTCTTCCATTGATCGATTAAAGAAACACAGGAAGGCCCCATTGGCATGAGAAGGTAGTTGCACGGTACGCTTCATCCATCTTATTCTGTTTAACAAAATCGTCATAGATTCTAGCGATCTTTTTTGATAATCTAAGAGCAACAAAAAATAGCTTACAGCTCAATTTTCTCGACCTTGATAGCCTCAGACCTCCAAGTCTTCCATTTATTTTCTTCATCCAGCATAGTTTAGGCCTAGCTGCCTTCTTATCACAGTTAGCAAGCCTCTCATATCTTCCTCTCCGGCACCTCTCAAACATGACAAGTTAACAACTATACAGTGAATGAGACCGAGAAAGAAATACTGAAAGGTCACAACAATCAAAACGTTGGGGAAATGGTCTCAAAGAATCGAGAAAATGTCACAGATATATTTAACAGATAGGTATATCTGAGGGAAGATTGAAGAATGTGCAGGGAGATAGATGCTACATTAATTTTATATAGAGAGTAGAAGGAAAAGAAAGATTCAAAAGAGAGAGCAGTTTGAGCACATGTATAATCTCTTTCACATGGTATTATTACAGACATATCTACTATAGTTTGATTCATAGATGATGACAGGGCATGTGCAATAATTCATAATATTCAGAGGATATGATTCTTGAAGAGAAGAAATGTGTTTGTGGTAGATATAAAAGAAGAAAGATCCAACTTTTTTATAAGTTTGACAGAGATTAGAAATAGTTAAATCCAATTTGGTAGATGTTAGTCAAGTTGAGGAATATTTGGTCCAAACTCTCCAGATTGAAGAAAACAACTTTTAATTATAGTTTAACTCCATGGGATCCTTACTAAACCTAGTTAGGGCCCGTTTGGCAAGGCTTTTGAAAAGTCAAAAGCTGCTTCTGAGACTAAACTAATGCTCTTTAACATGTTTGAATAATTTTCTGAATGTACTTTGTATGGTTAAATGACATGAAACTTTTTTATATAAAGTAGATGTCCTGCCAAACAGCAGGGGTGGCCTGGGGGGTCAAGTTCCCCCCCCCCCCCNCTTGCAGGGACAGACCTGTGGGGTCAAGTGCCCCCTTCCCCAGATTTTGAAGGATTTTTTTTTTTAATATATATATAAAGAAAAAAAATTGAATCCCAAACTATTGCTCAATCAAGAATAATATAGAATGTAGATGGTGGTGGCTTTGTTAAATAATGATGCATGATAGTTTGGCATTTTATGGACAAATAGAGGGAATAATGGGGGGAATATGTTGAACTGTTTTTTGCAGGTCCAGTTTGACATAATAATGGACTGTCTGATAGTAATATTTGTACATTTCAAATGGAATTTTCTTCACTCTATGCTGCAGTTTGCATTCAAATCCCAATTGTTTTCGATTCAACAGTGAATAATAAAGACGGATAATATTACTCGTAATATAATTTCATGAAAACTAGCCCGGAGAAGGCTTCTCGACCAGTGCTTTAGATCTGTAGACTATAAATGTCATCAATGGTAATTGAATTTGCAGTCATTTTCATAGGAAATAATCTTTATAAGAGGAAGATGCACTCTAAAGAACTTCCTTCCTTTAAAATTGACATTTTTTCCATAAAACAAGTACATTTAACTTCTTTTTTCTTCGTTACCAGCTGCATTTCCAGTTCTCTAAATGGCATTTGTTGTAGCTTTCAATCTCCAAAGACGAGAATTTTCTAAGATAATACTTTCTTTGTGATAAAGTGTTTTTTTTTTTGGTTCTCATCTTGGCATCAATGTAAAAACTACAGAGTGTTCTTTGTTATGTTATGGTAAGAGTACTTTTTTAAACTGTCTTTTTTTTTGTTAACTTTAAATTGTGAGTTAAAGTATCACTTCATTCGCCTCGACTCAAAAATCCTAGCTCCGCTCCTAAGTCTTGATATCTCAAATAGCAACTCGTAAGACAAATTCTACCATCAACTAAAACACAAAGGACCGTATGGTAGGATTTTTGAAAAATTAAAAATTACTTTTGAACCTATTTTGATAATTTTCTAGAAGTAATTTATCTTACTAGAAGAGTTTTTAGAGAAAACTAGCCTAACATAACTTTCTCAAGAAACATTTCTACAAGATGCAAAGTAAACAAAGAAATCCTGTCAAACGAGCCCTAAGCAAACTTTACTCAAAAAAACATGGCTATAAACAAACATTTACTAATCCTTAAACTCCACGAGGATAATGCAATCTCCAGCTTATAATCCATTAATATCATAATTTTAATTTGCTATAAATATGTACACTCATTTTATGTCATCCCAATTTTTAACTCCGTAAGGGTGTTTGGTGGGGATTAAAATTAGATTTTTAGTAAATTGTGATAGAAATTTTTGAAATGTGTGGTTAAAAAGCTGTGAAACCCATGAAAGATGTGGTTAATATTAATTGTTTGATTTTGATTTAAATTAAAATCTGATTTTAATCCGAAACAAATAGGGTAATATCTACAAGAACTATTTTTGTACGAACTAATATTTTTAAAATTTTGATATACAATCTGTAAGATATTTTGAGGTTAACTAATTGACAACCGACGCGATTCAAGAAAGTTAGGTGCCTTAACCAAATTTTTGGAAAGGTCCTTTGAAAAATGATACCGATAAAAGAATAAATGGAGCAAATGATCACCAAAAACAAAATTTGTCGATTGTCGATTAGCATTGATAATGACCAATGTTATCAGCATTGATAATTTCGTCACCTACCCAACATTTTTTTTTTTGGCAATCATTTGCTCAATTTATTCTTTTATTGTCATCATTTTACAAAAGACCCTTCATAAAAATTGGCCTATAGCTCCTTAATTAATTGAGCCGCCTCTATTGTCAATTAGTAAACCTCCAAAGTGTCTTGTAAATTGTAAATCAAAATCTGGCAATATTAGTTATGATAAATGCCAACAATTCTTTGTTCAAACTTTCTTCATTTTTTTTTCAAAACGCATTCTACATAAAATTTCTGCCTCTATTTTATATTTGCACATTTTTAATAAAATTTACACATTTGATTTAATAAATTGACAAGGAATGATTATGATGCCAACCAAACTTCACGCTTAACTGTTGGCCCCGAAAAGTAATCTGAATACATGGTCAACAGAGTACGACTTCCACGTAAACTCTTTCTTGCGCTTAGTAACATACCATAGTCGCTCGTGGCCTTTTCCGGTGGGGATGGAAGTTGCCGCGAGCAATTCGACAATCAAGTTAGTGAGTTGGTAAATCTGATTTACTATATCCGATGGTGATCACCGGATCAAGGTAAAGGTGCATATGCATAAATATAATGCAAAGATCATATGCTATTTTTTCTCTTTCGGAGCCCTCTTTCCATAGTGTAGGTGGGGATATTTATAATGAGAAGAGATCAGAGAAGAACCGTTGGATGTGGAGCACGTAACTTTAAATATAGGACGGACCGTCCTTTCATAGGTATCAATCCGCAGATGGGCATTTTAATTAATGCACACGACATAGTAGTCCGTGACTTATGTTTTTGAATCAGTCATACGTCCTATCAATCAATCTTAAAGATTTAGTTCTTGAGATCTTTCCATAAAAGATCTTCTGGTACACAGGGTTGAATTGGAGGGATTGTGACAGGAGTGGTAATCGCGTTCTCAATTTGAGGAATGATGCCAACCAAACTTCACGCTGTTGAATTGGAGCGACTGCGACATGAGTAGTAATCGCGTTCTCAGTTTAAGGAATGATGCCAACCAAACTTCACGCTTAACTAATAAACAATAGATCATCTCT